TGTATAATTAAAACAAAAACTATTTTTTTCTTAGTTCTTAAATAAGTTTAAACAAAAATCGAATTTATTTGAAAATAAAGTCGTCCTTTTAAAGTTGTTTTTTTTTTTGTTTTTAACAGTAGGTGGAAGCATCGGAAAGCCACCGTGTGAAACTTGAACCCACTAAACCACCTCTTAGAAATGTTTGGAGAAGATTTCCACAGCATTGTGAAACCTTCATTTCAGTAATCAGGGGCGAGAGGAGAAAAAATAGACTTAGTACCTAGCTAGTATCTTTTGAAGTTGTTCACAGTCTGCATTTTTTTATATCGCTTTTTATATAAAATAACAAAACTATTAATTTTTGTAGAAATTTCAAAATATTTTAATATACAAAATATTTAAAAATTTCATTTATTTAACATTTCCCATAAATATTTATTATTAAAAAATATTTCATGTTGGAATATAAAATTTTGACAATTTCGCTGTGGTTAAGGACTCTTAAGATTGCTGAGCAAAAACTTTTTCAGCAAAATATGCAACAACATATTTTCCTTAACTAAAAATGCAGTAAAATAAAATTCTTATCTATTCACAGCATTGAAAGTGAAAATTGTGCCAAATAATCCTGCCCACATTTGCGTTAACATGACACTAAAAATCTACTTTTCTTTTGCTTAAAGGAAACTATTGACAGCGTAACGAGTGTCTTCTTGGAAGAAAGACACTGCATTGCATGCCTTCTCGTGGCAAGGAGGAAGAAGACATTTTCTCTTTTGAAAGTTCTTATAAAGTTTTCCAAACTTATACAATGAGGTACTTATTAAAAGTCAAAAAGTTGTAAAAGTGTCAAATGGGGTTACATCCTTATTATGAATACACATGAGCTTAAAATAGAATGGTGAATTGGAAAAATTGTGAAAAACTGTGAGTATTGGAGTGAAGAGAGAAGTGGGAAGAATGAACAATCAAATTTTCTAGTACATTTTTTTTACAGTAGACAGTAGAGTTAGGATAAAGACTACCGATTCATTCCGGAATAAGTGTGGTGTAAAATTTAAGGAATCCAAACAAACTTTAAGAAATTGTTAAAATTAAAAAGTTTATTTTCAAAGAATATTTTTTTAAAATTTTTGGACTTAATAAATTTTGAAAACATTATTGTGATATGATTTATGGACTCATATTTTGAAGATCTATAATATTGCGATCTTAGTTGCATTTGTTTTTTAAAGAGTTTGAATATGTTTGCAAAATCTGCAAAGGTGCAAAGGTCTATTTTAAAGATTCATATAACTTGGGAGGTTACTAATTAACTAACTCCATAATACCTTTTGTCTACATATTATCTGAATGATTAAGTTAAATGCTTTTGGTTTAGAAGTGATCATGTTCTTGTGTTATTGATAAGCAAATATCAGTAATCGTTGTAATTGCCATTTTGTTTTCCCAGTTGTTCTTGTGACCAGTTATATGGAATCCGTTGGGAACTGTTATCCTGTTTATTTCTAATTTCTTTCTGAAATATAGTTTTTGAGTTAAGTTATATGTATTAGTGAATTGAAGAAGTTTGGATTTTAACATACTCTTGAGTTAATAATAAACTACTGTCATAAGCTTTGAACTTTATGGTATAGTTTCAGAAAGAAATTAGAAATAAACAGGATAACAGTTCCCAACGGATTCCATATAACTGGTCACAAGAACAACTGGGAAAACAAAATGGCAATTACAACGATTACTGATATTTGCTTATCAATAACACAAGAACATGATCACTTCTAAACCAAAAGCATTTAACTTAATCATTCAGATAATATGTAGACAAAAGGTATTATGGAGTTAGTTAATTAGTAACCTCCCAAGTTATATGAATCTTTAAAATAGACCTTTGCACCTTTGCAGATTTTGCAAACATATTCAAACTCTTTAAAAAACAAATGCAACTAAGATCGCAATATTATAGATCTTCAAAATATGAGTCCATAAATCATATCACAATAATGTTTTCAAAATTTATTAAGTCCAAAAATTTTAAAAAAATATTCTTTGAAAATAAACTTTTTAATTTTAACAATTTCTTAAAGTTTGTTTGGATTCCTTAAATTTTACACCACACTTATTCCGGAATGAATCGGTAGTCTTTATCCTAACTCTACTGTCTACTGTAAAAAAAATGTACTAGAAAATTTGATTGTTCATTCTTCCCACTTCTCTCTTCACTCCAATACTCACAGTTTTTCACAATTTTTCCAATTCACCATTCTATTTTAAGCTCATGTGTATTCATAATAAGGATGTAACCCCATTTGACACTTTTACAACTTTTTGACTTTTAATAAGTACCTCATTGTATAAGTTTGGAAAACTTTATAAGAACTTTCAAAAGAGAAAATGTCTTCTTCCTCCTTGCCACGAGAAGGCATGCAATGCAGTGTCTTTCTTCCAAGAAGACACTCGTTACGCTGTCAATAGTTTCCTTTAAGCAAAAGAAAAGTAGATTTTTAGTGTCATGTTAACGCAAATGTGGGCAGGATTATTTGGCACAATTTTCACTTTCAATGCTGTGAATAGATAAGAATTTTATTTTACTGCATTTTTAGTTAAGGAAAATATGTTGTTGCATATTTTGCTGTAAAAGTTTTTGCTCAGCAATCTTAAGAGTCCTTAACCACAGCGAAATTTTCAAAATTTTATATTCGAACACGAAATATTTTTTTATAATAAATATTTATCGGAAATGTTTAATAAATGAAATTTTTAAATATTTTGTATATTAAAATATTTTGAAATTTCTACAAAAATTAATAGTTCTGTTATTTTATATAAAAAGCGATATAAAAAAATGCAAACTGTGAACAACTTCAAAAGATACTAACTAGGTACTAAGTCTATTTTTTCTCCTCTCGCCCCTGATTACTGAAATGAAGGTTTCACAATGCTGTGGAAATCTTCTCCAAACATTCCTAAGAGTTTAGTGGGTTCAAGTTTCACACGGTGGCTTTCCGATGCTTCCACCTACTGTTAAAAACAAAAACAAAATAAACAACTTCAAAAGGACGACTTTATTTTCAAATAAATTCGATTTTTGTTTAAACTTATTTAAGAACTAAGAAAAAAATAGTTTTTGTTTTAATTATACA